CAAGAGGGCTGGGGGGTAACTAGGATTGTTGAGAAAACTCAAAGACCCCAGCCCTTTATTATCCATGCCAACTGCCTGTCCCCCATGCACACGCGCACACGCACTCAGGCGCACACATACACCCCAAATAGGGGCTCTGTTGTAACTTCCCTCTAGCTGCGCAGGCCCCTCCTCCTGTCTGGGTCTCAGTTTCCTCCTCTGTCACAGAGGGATTGGGGAGGGCCTTTGCAAAGCCCTTGCCCGCTTCCTCAGGTCCCTGAGGACAATCCTGGTTCTGGTTCTGGCCTTGAGATTGCCACTCGTTTTGCTCAGAGAAGGCCTCTGTGCAGGGGTGGGGGTGGGGTAGGGCTGCTCTGTCCCCTCCCGCCCCTCCCACTTCCCCTTCTTCAGAGGTCTCCGGGGACCCCCTGGGGCCAGCTCCTGGGCCTGGAACACTTCCACAGAGGGCCTCTTTCCTGACTGCGACCCCCCTCCGCCCCCCTCCAGTGGAAGGCACAGGCTTGCCTGGAGTCCTGCCAACCCACTCCGGCCTCAGCTTCCCCGTCCTGCTCCCCCACCCCACCCCATCCCCTTTCCCACCCACCCCCATTCCTGGGGGTCTGCGAAGACCCTAGCTTCCATTTTGAAACATCAGAGCTCCAGAATTCCATGACAACGAAGTCAACCCTCTCGGAGAGCTGTGTGAACTTTATTTTTCCAGGCTTCAGTTTCCCCAACTCCGACCTGAGCAGCTTGAGGGAGCAGCCTAGCTTAGTGGTTAAGGGCCCCGACTCTGGGACTCGGCGATGTGGGCTTGAATCCTGGCTTCTCCTTTCCGCTGTCTCTGTGACCTTGACCGAGTTCCTTAGCGTCTCTGTTTCCTCATCTGTAAAATGGGCCTAATAGTACCCACCCCAGGGGGCTGTTGGGAGGCATAAGCTGACAACAGAAGTATGTAAAGCGCGTGGACAGTAAGCGCTGTTTGCTAATATCTCATTTTGTGCTTGCCTGACATTCGGTGGAGATTTTCCCGGTCAGGTTGCAGTGACGAGGAGGCTCAGCCTTCCAAGCCCTAAATTTCTGAGATTCCTCCAACGGGCACTGCACGTGTGCAGGTGACTGGTGTGGCCACGGCCACCTTTCCAGCGACCACACACTCAGAGTTGCGGGGTGTTATGGACTGAATGTTTGGGTCCACTCCAAATTCATATGTTGACCCTCCAGTGTGATGGTAATTAGGAGGTGGGGACTTTGGGAGGGATTTCGGTCTAGATGACATCATGAGGGTAGAGCCCCGGTGTCCGAGGAAGAGCTTCTTCTCTCCACCACGCGAAGACACAGTGAGAAGGTGACCCTCTGCAAAGCAGGAGGTGGGGTCTCACCAGACGCAGAATCTGCCGGCGCCTTGATCTTGGATGTCCCAGCCCCCAGACTGTGAGAAATAAATGTCTGTTGTTTAAGCTGCCCACTCTGTGGTGTCTGTGATGGCAGCCTGAGCAGACCAAGACACAGGGGACTGTGGTTGAAGCCGGGACGCACATGTGCTTGCTGCAAGGAAGAGAGAGAAATAAAGTGGCCCAGGTAGGGACAGTCTGCCACCTGTCTGTCTCTGCCCCCAGAGAGATGGGGAGGACAGCCGCTTCCAGGATAGCCAGCTACCTTTACCCTGATTTTACCGGTAGGGTTGAGGAAATAGAGGGATTCAGAGATGGGAAAGGAGGGAGAAGCCCCCACCTGCCACCCCCAGGGCGACAGGCTGAATCCCAGTGCTGGAGGGGGTGGTGGGTGTGACAGTGGGGGAGGAGAGTCCGAAGCCCTGGGCAGGCACCAGACAGGTGGGGTCCACACACATCTCTGCTAAGGGGCTGGAAACAGCTCTGATGCCTCTGCTTTGAGTGGACTGAAGGGAATGTAGACATTCCCTGCCCCAGGGGTTGTGGGAGAGCTGATCCACTGGAGGAGGCATGACTTGGATGTCAGGGACCTCGGGGAAAGGTCTGAGGATGATGACAGACCAGTGCATCCAGGGCCCCAGAGGAAGCTCCAAGCTGTTAGAGGAGAACAAATCGATAAATTGGACGTCATTAAAACTAAGACCATTTGCTCTGAAAAAGGCATCACTGTTAAGAGAATGAAAAGACAAGCCACAGAATGGGAGAAAATATATGTCAGACATGTATCTGATAAAAGACTTGTATCCAGAATATACAAAGAGCTCTTAGAACTCAACAAGAAGAAAATAAACAACACACTTAAAAAATGGGCAAAAGATCTGAAGAGATACCTCACCAAAGAAGATATTCACATGAAAAACACATGAAAAGATACTCAACGTCATCATCGTCGTTACTAGGAACTTGCAAATTAAAACAACAATGAGATATCATCACTACGTACCCACTAGAATAGATAAAATCCAAAAAACCATGACGCCACCAAATGCTGATGAGGATGTGGAGCCACAGGGACTCTCATTCATTTGATAAGAATGAAAAAGTGCACAGACACTTTGGAAGAGCTTGGCGGGTTTTTTTTTTGTTTTTTGTTTTTTTTAACTAAATATACCATATGATGGAACAATTGTGCTCCTTGGTATTTACTCAAACGAGCTGAAAACATATGTCTGCACAAAAACCAGCACATGAATGTTTATATCAGCTTTATTCATAATTGCCCAAAACTGGTATCAACCAAGATGTCCTCAGTCTGCGAGTGGAGAAGCAAACTGGGGCACATCAATAAAATGGAATATCATTCAGCAACAAAAAGAAATGAACTGTGAGGCCATGAAAAGACAAGGAGGAACATTTACTACATATTGCTAAGTGGATGAGCCAGTCTGTAAAAGGCTAGTTACTATATGGTTCCAATTCTATGATATCCTGAAATATGCTAAGTACAGGGGCAGCAGAAAGAAAGATTGGCTGCCAGGCTAGTTAAGAAAGGAATAGTCTCCTTTTCTGGAATATATATTTGCCTATCCAGGAAATCCATTTCTTTCACAAATTGTACTTCTGAGAAACTTCTCCATCTTATCCAAATTGCCAATTTATTGGTGAATTTATAATATCCTTTCATTATATTTTTAGTGTACGTAGGATCTGTAGAGATGTCTTTTTTTTTTAATTTTTTTTTTTAAGATTTTATTTATTTATCTGAGAGAGAGAGACTGAGAGAGAGAGAGCATGAGAGGGGGGAGGGTCGGGAGGGTCAGAGGGAGAAGCAGACTCCCTGCCGAGCAGGGAGCCCGATGCGGGACTCTATCAAGGGACTCCAGGATCACGACCTGAGCTGAAGGCAGTCGCTCAACCAACTGAGCCACCCAGGCACCCGAGATGTCCTTTTTTCCACGCACATTGATCATTTGTTTGCTAGGGCCTTATCCACTAGTACACTGGTTTTTTAATTCATAGATCTCTGCTCTTACACTTCTTTCCTTTCTTCTACTTTCTTTAGGGTTGAGATGAATATACTCCCTTTGATTTCAGTCATTTGAAATTTGATATTCTAGTTGTACTTGAGATAATGTGAATTCTGTGTCTGGGCAGTGTTCTATTTTAACGAGATCAAATGTGTTCATTGTGTTGTCTAGATCCTCTATATCTCTATTATTTTTTGTCTATTTGTTCTATCAGCTACTAAGAGAGGTGTAATAAAGTCCTTCATTATGGTTGTGGAGATGTTAATTCTGTCAATTTTTGCTTTACAATTTTAAAGTTATGTTATTGCATGCATACAGATTTATGATTGTGATATGTTTTTGTTGGATTGACTCTTTGATCTTTATAAAATGTCCCTTTTTTTTTTTTAAATGCTTCTTGCCTTAAAGTCTTTGTCTGATATTGGCGTAATACCGCCAGCTTTTTGGGTCAGGTTTGTATGGTGTTACCCTTTCAATCCTTTTGTTTTCAGGCTTTCTGTGTTATTAAAGTGTGTCTCTTGTGAGCAGCATAAAATTAAAAACAAAAATCATTGAACAATTCTAGATTCAATTTTCCAGCACTTAAAAGATGTCATTTCATTGTCTTCTGGCTTCCAATGTTTCTATTGAGAAGGGAGTTCTCAGTTTAACTGTTGATCTTTTGAAGATAAACTATGTATTTTTTTCCTTTGTCTGTCTTTAAGATTTTTTTTTCTTAAAGATTTTATTCATTTATTTGACAGAGACACAGCGAGAGAGGGAATACAAGCAGGGGGAATGGGAGAGGGAGAGGCAGGCCTCCTGTGGAACAGGGAGCCCGATGTGGGACTCGATCCCAGGACCCCGGGATCATGACCTGAGCCGAAGGCAGACGCTTAACGACTGAGCCACCCAGGCGCCCCTGTCTTTAAGATTTTTTCATTACATTTTTCTCCCCCAGGAGTCTTACAATGAGGTGTGTGTGTGTGTGTGTGTGTGTGTGTGTTTAAAAAACTAAACTCCAGACTTTATAGGGATTTCACCAGTTTTTCCATTAATATCCTCTTTGTTTCAGGATCCAGTGTAGAGTACCATGTTGCATTTAGTTTTCAGGTTTCCTGTCTCCTTGGTTTTTGAGTTTCTCAGCCCTTCCTTGTTTTTCATGACACTGACTTCCTGGAGGAGTACTAGTCAGACTATCGTATAGAATGTCCCATAATCTGGATCTGTCTGGGATTTTCCTCAGGATCAGACTGGGGCTATGGGATTTTGGGAAGACTATCAGAAGTGAAGTCCTCTTCTCGTGTGATTTTGCTTTTATCCTGTGTGAGATCTGCCAAGTTTATTCAATCTATGGGTTGATATGCTTCCTTGATTTGGGTCAATTGAATTTTGGCAGAAAAGGCACCGTGCCGGTTCCAGGCCCAGGCCCTAGGAGGCATCCTATGTCTCTGCTTACCCTTCTCGTGCACAAAGAGAGAAACAGGACAACCCCCAAGAACCGACTGCTGCTGCTGTGTGCGCACTGGTTGATGTTAACGAAGCAACGAGCAGTTACTCATCGTGCAGCAAAATAACTGTGGGTCAAGAAATACGAGACTAACCAAGTTTTATTTGAAAATAATATTAAATTCTATTCGTTTATTCTTGGATATAGGTTTATCACGTAGTAGCCTGTTCACCCAACAGAAGACTATGGAAGGTATATGGCCGACCGCTCTCTGGAGCCTGGAGCAAGTACAAATGGTGAGGACAGGGGAGGGACGGTGACACAGGGTGGGAGCCGGCTCCGTTCACTTCTCTCCAGTGGTGAGTGGTCCAGGCTGGGGTTCGGGGGCTCCTGTAAGCCCAGAACCTTTGGAGCCGGGTGAAGCAGGAGAAGGAGGGGACGGAGAGGCGCTGAGCAGGATACGATCATCTTCCATGGCTACATTCTCCACCTGTACCGTCCAAATCCTGGTCCTCAGCCCTGCCCTCCCCCACTACCACCCTAGCCCACGTTTGCTTCCAGCTTCCAAACCACTCCGACCTGCCAGCTTTACGTTTTTGGCTCTCACGTCCTGTGACCCATTTCCCCCAGCCAGGCTCTCCTCGACCCCTCCAGGATCCCGCCCAGACGCCAGAATGGTGCCAGTGAACTTTGGGGCTGGAAGCCTCTATATGCAATGTGCACCAGCCTAAGGCGTGACGTGGGAGCGGGGGTCATGGGGCCCAACCCGGGAGAGAAGTCGGCGAGGGCTTGGGGATACCCGTGCAACCCTCCTCCTAGCCTCACCAAGGCCATTCCTCCTTCAGAGGGTAAAACTGACCACTCCTCACTCCCTCAGTCTCGGTTCTGCCTCAAGGGTGAATGAAGAGCATCCCAGAGGCCATGAGCGTGTCCCAGTGCCAGGCAGGGGGGGCGCTGGCGCTTAAGGGTGAGGCCACTCATCTGTACTGAGCCCCAGCTATGAGCCAGCCACTGGGCCAGGTGCTTAGCGGACGATTGCTTTTCAACCCCTGAAGGTCTTAGTGCTGAGGATGTGGAGGCTCGGAGAAGCTAATTCACTTCCTTCTGGTCACTGAGCTAGAAGGTAACCGAGCTGTTGAATCTATGCCTGTCCTGTCTCCCAAGGCTCTCAGATCTAGAAAGGGGCTCCTGAGAGAATATGTTCCAGGGGCTGAGAGTAGACAGGTAAAGTATTAGTGCTGTTTTTCAGAAGACCCAGGGAACTTGTGAGACACGGGGCGGGGGGGGGAGAGAGAGAGAGAGAGAGAGAAAGAGATGGGGTGGTACTGAAGGTCTGGAAAGAAATTCCTAGTCTTGTTACTACCACCTGAGCCCCAGAGTAGAGGGGACTGAACCCCAGATACAAAGGGCCCCCCAAGATTTTGACAGACTAAGGCGGGGGGTCCAGCCAAGCATTGGGAGAGGAGGCCTAAACCACACCCCAGAGCACCAGAGCCTCAGATCTTTCTAGAAAGGATCCTAGACCACACCAGTGGCCGGGGCCTCTGGAGGTCAGCTCATCCATCCCTCTCCTCTCTACCGTGAGGAATCTGAGGGGCAGTGTGGCCAGCCGCTCTCTCCCTAATGCCTGTGTCTTTCCTAAACACAGCCTGAGGGCCCAGAAACCACCAATCCCCTGCCCACTGTCCACTGCAGGACCCATAGCAGGGCCTGATCCAACAGAGGGCCATCTAGTTCCCCAGAGGGAGCGAGACCCTCGAGGCCACCGTGTGGGGAGGGCCTCCCAGGAGGCTGCCTGCCCAGGGCTTCCTGTCCAGGCTGGTGAGGGCCCCACTAGGGCAGAGCTCCACTGAACGTCATGATGGGCAGGCAGAGGAGGGAGCAGAGGTCCGGCGGGGCCTGGGCTGGCGGGTCTGGGGTCCTCTGGGGTTGGGGGTGGAGGCTGCTCTTCTCTGGCTTGTAGCAAGGTGAGACCTCACACCTGTGGGGCAGGCGGGAGTAAGGGCAGGCCCCCCCATCCCTGCAGCTCCTTCCGGGGTTCTAGCACGCGGCACAGAGGCGGGCCCCTTCCCTGGGCCCCCCTTCCTACCGGACCACACTCTGCAGGATCTTCCTCTCATCCTGGTCCAGGCACACGGCGAAGGGGCAGCCATTGGAGCCGATGATCTGCACCTTGTCCACTTTGATCTGTGACGTGCTAATCTGGAAGCAAGGCCCCCATCAGTCCTCCCCGATCCCCGGCCCCAGAACCGCCAGCCCTCGGCGGCTCTCTGCCTCAGGCCACCCCGGCAGCAGCTCTGCGGGACTGACGGCCAGCTCGGGTGAGGGTCCGGCAGCCTCCGTGAGGCCCTGCCTCCTCTCCGGCCTCCACCCTCCCTGAGTCTGGAAGAAACAAGTGCCCCCAGGAGAAGTTCCCACGGCCCCACTGTGAGGCCCCGGGTCCCCGACACGGAGCCATTCTGCGCGCACCCAGGGCTCCCCCGGCTGCCCGCCAAAGCCTTTGCACGCAGATACATCCGCCCGTAGGGCACCCCACAGTGTGTGCACCCCAAACCGCACCCCCAGCCTGCCTCCCCTCCCCACCCGCACCCGCGCATGCGCGCACACAGGCGCCCACCGGCGCCAGGGTCTCCGGAAGGCTCGACGGCGGAGAGGGGGGCGTCTTTACCTGGTTGAAGCCCTTCTTAGACTTGGGGTTCTGTCTTTTCACCACCTCTGTCAGGTTTAGCGTTAGGGCCTCCATGCTGGAGTCTGAGGGGCAGGGGCGGCTCAGGCCAGGCTCGGGG